AGAAAAAAAAAAAAAGAACTATCACACAAATAAGCAAACCTGCATCTTCTCTCCGACAATGGTGTGCGGCGATTTTTTTGGTTTAGTTTCGGATAGAAAGAAAAAAGTGCAGCAAAGCAGTTTTTGGTGGATGGGAATTGTGGATTCAGAAACTATAGTAGTGGTGGTGGCATTCAACGGCAGCGGCGGCAGTGTGGTGGATCCGGAGAGTCGGCTTCGAGTTTGGGTGGAGTAGCTGTGGAGTGACGGCGAATATTCTTCGAGTTTGACATTCTTCTTCTTCTTCTTCCTCAGTATACGACTCAAGATTCACAAATTGGAAAAAAATGCTATGGAAATTGAAAGAAAATGCTTCGAAGAATGTTTGCATTTTTTTTGGGTTTTGGCAGGGATGTGCCGAAAAAGCTTGAGACGCCATTTTTCTTCCCTTTTGTTTTCTTGGATTTGGAATATGAATGAACATCATGCTCACATTGGGTTTGGTTGATGGGTTTTGCTGGAAAAAATCATGGTGAAAAAGTGGAGTGTTGTTGTTGAGGTTGGAGAAGAGGGCTTATTTGAATATATAAAGGACTCAATTGAAAATCTTAAAAACTTCATTTTGGTGCTTATAAAATTTATGGGGGCATTTTGGTATTTTCGTGTTAAAAAAACGAACCCCCACTCGCATTCATGGCAAGTGAAGCACACGGTCAGCTCTCAGGGACCTTATTGCCTTTGATTATTTTTCGTAGGGGGGTATTTGCTAATTGTTTTAACACAAGGTCTTTTAAAACACATATTCATGTGTATGTGTAGTTATTTATATAGATCTAAGGTGTCAAAACACATGTATTTAATGTATATATCTCATACTAGATAAAGCGTTGTTTTTATGTCAAACACGTTTCTTTATTGTAAGGAACGGTGTATTTATAAGTTCAAACTTCAAAGTCGAAGCCGAAACCGAAACCATTTATTCAGTTAATTAATGGGACTTAAATTAATTAATTAAGTAGGACTTTTTGACAGTTTCTCAATGACTAAAAGCACATAAATGATCTCCTCAGCTCTCCGGTCAGCCTCCGCAACCACCGGCGGCACAGTGCCTCCGGGCTCGTCGGTAAATATATCGTCACAATATCCGACATCTTCAATAGCAGTGGCGGCGTCGTACTGGAGCTTATCCCAGTCGTGAGATCCCAGGTCCTGCTTGCAATCGTTCAGCGAATCGATGGCGTCGGTGAAAAAATCTAGACACGTGTCGGTTTCGGCACTTGGCGGGATCGATTTAATCGCATCTATCGCTGCTTTAACAGCGTCTTGCCCTTTCTCAACCATGATACCCCCCAGACCCACAAGATCCGACCCTTTCGAACGCGGGTCGGGTCTTAGTAGCTGGTCGCACAGCGGCGGGTTCGGTGCGTCGGAGCACACTTTGCTTATCAAATCATCGGCGCCCTCGCTTACCTGGCAGAAGCAAATCATCACCATCAATATTGCTACAGTCACGGTGACCAACGCAGACTGATGAGAAGCTGCCATTGTACTGCATGTACATACGTAATATATATCTATATATATATCGTATAATTAATTAATATTATCTCATATTTATTTTTCTGTGTGTTATTGTATTTTGTCAGAAACAAGCCCTTTTATAGTGGTGGATATATTAAATATTAATGTAATCTATTTTTCTTTTTTAAATCTAATTTGTGTAATGTAATTTGATCCTTCGCTTTGTAAGGATTTTGTACATATGGCTTTATTGGTGAAATTTGATTCTCTTAATTTCGGCTTTCATGCAAGTTATCGTAATTTGATTCCCATAATACGAGAAAATCAATTGTAATTTCATGAGAATACAATTGTTGTTATGATTTGTTCGATTTAATTTTTTTTTACAATACTTTGTATGTCGAGCTCGTCGCACATGATCCTGTGTAATTTATATATCTTGTAGTTTGTAGAGGATTGTACGTCATATGATTTGCAAACTATATATGAACTTTTTCTTTTTGCTATTAAAATTATTGTAAAAACAAATTACTAACTATATTTGTAAATATTTTATTTAAGAAGTTGTTAGTGGCACCATAAGCTTGTTGTATATTCTATATAATATAAAAATTATTTTTTTATGCGAGTATATATTTAATTTAAGAGATTCTTGCAAATGCTAAGAACATATTTACTTATTTTATGTTAATATCTCTATAAACTTTTAATGACTGGTTTTTTATTTAATAACCGGTTAAATAATTTAAATTACTATTTAGTAGGATATAATGATTTTAGCTAAAGCGTTTTACATAATAAATCCTTTACATAAGAGAGTTCTTTTGGTTAATTAATTTGTTAAAATTCAACAGAAAGTATGCTATATTAAGAAATAAAAATAATTAATCTGGAAATTTAATAAAATAAAAGTACTCAGTAAAATAGTTAACTTTAGGGTGCTCATTGATCGAAGAATTTAAAATCAATAAATTTAAAATTAGTTTAAACGGGAAGGATTTGAAATTATTTTCTTTTCGGTTTTTCGCCCTCGGGTTCTAAAATAGCACCATCAACAATTTTATGCATATCAAAACACAATATTTCAGCAGATGATGTCCTAAAACCAACGATTTTCCAATAATCTTGTATACCATTTTCCACGTGTCCCTTCTTTTTCTTTTTCTTTTTCTTTTTTCTATGAGCTGTGAAAAAAAAATTCAGACATGAAATCATCTAAGTAACGAGGCTTTTTACCTCGTTTGTTTGCAACAACACGAGGCGTTTCCAAGTCGTTAAGAACCACTAACCGCAATAGATCTTCTCAGTCCAAAAACAGTTACGCCCACAATTCATATGCTCAAAGTTGATATCTTGTCAGTGCTAAGTGAATTTTGGCGGGAAAAAAACGGCACATTCAGTAGAATATACCTCCGTCACCTGTCATGCACTTCTTGTTTCGGTAGTAAATCTGTTCTCCTGAATCTGAAATTAAATCTTAACCCTGAAAAAAAAAATTAAACAAAAAAAAAATCAGAATTGCCAGAAGCACTTCAACTAATTTGTAAATCGAAGCAGATATAAGTTACCAGTAGGGTTTCTTGAAAAGAACTTCAATATCTCATCGATTAGTATTACCTGAAAAATAGAGAGAGGGTTAGCAAATGTGCACAAAGAAAATAGGATTAAAAAAAAAAAGAAAGAAAGAATTATTATTCAAGGAATTCAATAATAGAGCAACATTGAAATTCAAGAGCAGAGTTAAAACACAATAAATGTGAAGATTCGTAGATACAATCACGGGCCCACAAAATATTTAAACACAACATATACTTACTGGAAAAGACAGATAGAAAACAACAGTCCATTCAGACCAACTTAGTGGCGCCACCTGTAAAATAAAATTGCAACGTTTAAAGAAAAAAAAACTCCGGCAGAATTTGAATTTTTATCAAGTGGAGAGAATGAACTTACCGAAAAAAGAATAGATAATGGTTGCACGTAGAGGATGAGTACGTGAAGTAACATTGTCAGTACAATTGATCCAAGAAGCCATAAATTACTCCAAGGGCGAATGACTCTACAAAAGTTGAATACAAAAACAATCCTCAGTCGTATTATTGAAGGTGTATAAAGCATGTATACAACTAAATTTGATACGGATTAAATTTTCTCGTGTGCTAGTTTTAAAAGGTAATGCGAAAACGGGTTCCAGATAAAATTCTCAACAAAAAATTTATAGTTTCAAAATAACTGACGTTTAAGGTTTCAACACATGAATAAAGAAAGTTAATGAATATGTCTTGATTTTAAGGAAAATATATGTAATAAGACTAAATTACCCTTCCAACTAGTTCTCCTTCTATGAATTACTCTCCACGTGTGATACCATTTAGGAGTAACAAAGGCAAATATGGAAAAGGGAAAATCTCGAAAGTGACAGTTAATTTAAAACAGATGGGAGTATTTGAGAACTCACAAGAGTGATTGATTTTCACTGAGGTTGTTCAATGCATTGAACATCTCGACAACAACGAGTACAGTCATTGCAACAGTTGATGGGCGTTGATCACTAAACACAGTGCATGGGTAATTCGTATCTCTCGTTGAGCAACTGTCGAAATTCATCTGAAATTTTTAAATAAGCATTTAATTAGTCCAGTGAGGTACCCGAAATCACAACTAAACACAGTTTGATTTCTCGCTCGAGACTTACCAGATCTGTATACGGCAATTTAGGCCCGTTATCAGAGTAAAGAAACCACCAAACAAATCCGGCAATAGTAGCAAGCCCAACGTAAACTGCACCAAAAAACAAAAAACGAAAAAAAATATCAGACTAACAAATTATATAATGAAACGGTTTACATATTAGATGTTGATGTTGATGCACATGGACAGTTACAAATATTACTTAAGGAAGCAGAAATGTTTAGGAAGTACGACAAGTTTTTAGTTGCTGTGTAGTAATTTCTTTTTATTTACGTGGTTAAGGGGAAAATTATTGTTCTTTAACGACAATGACAAATTGAAGCATCGTCACAATGGAATATTGAAGAACACTAGATAATTAAGAAGTCAACGAGTACCTCCAATGACTAAATAACGGAAGAACAGCCATCCACTGACAACAGCTTCATTGACCTAGCATTTAGACATGTTGACAAATGATGAGAAACTTCATTTCAACAAACGAAAGAGCTGATGAATAATGAATGATAAAAAAACATTTACGAATCGTTTATTTAAACCGGTAAAATGAAAGCATTCTAATTGAATCAACCTAACATTTTGATTTATCAACTAGGAAAAAACAAGATTAAAAAAAAAAGTGTTCCGGGTGTCAAACTGAGGCAAACGCCACAAAATATTGAAATTGGTCAAACTGCACCGTAATCTAGAATGCTCGAAAGTCAAATATAAAAATACCTTGCGAGGTTTAGACTTCATTACATCAGAGTCTTGTTTATTAAATCCAATAGCAGTAGCAGGCAAGCCATCTGTCACCAAATTCACCCAGAGCAATTGGACCTGTAAGAAAACAAAACGCGAGGAAAGAAATACAGAAGGAACTTGATTTAGTGAAAGGAGAAAAATCAAATTTAAAGAACAAATGATACAGATAAAGATGAATTAAAAACGAAGGAGCAAATGTAAAAGACAGTTAACTCACAGGTACAAGAGTGTCGGGGATGCCAAGCAGTGCAGCCACAAAAATGCAAACTACTTCACCAATATTTGACGAGATCATATATCTGATGAACTGCTTAGTGTTGTTGTAAATAGCCCTTCCCTCTGCAACAGCCTGACAAGAAAAAACAAAGGCGACTTTTTTTAATAATAATAATAATAAAGACAGCTGTCGGAAAACTATAATCACTAGATAATGCAAACAAAAGCGAAGCAAATTAAAAAAAAGGAGGTGCAAATCTTACTGCGACAATTGTGGCAAAATTGTCATCTGCCAAAACCATATCCGAAGCACTCTGGAAAATCAAACGTTGATTAGAAAAGAGACGAAAAAGGAGTTGAAAACCAAATCTAATTTCAAGAGAATAAAAGGGAAAAAAAAAAGCTGTTTTCATTTTCAAGAAATGAAAAATCAAAATTAAATGAACCACCGGGCTTGTAATAAGTAGAATACCTTTGCTACAGCGGTGCCTGAACCCATGGCAATTCCAATGTCAGCTTTCTTTAGTGCAGGTGCATCGTTGACTCCATCTCCAGTCATTGCAACCTTGGAAAAGGGAGATCATGGTCAGTAACACGTTGCATAAAATTTGGATTCACAAAATGCAAAAGGTTTAATACCACTTCATTTTGATGCTGTAATGCTTCAACAAGCATCTTCTTGTGAGACGGTTCAACCCTAGCACAACAATTAAAACAGCGTAAGTTTTAAGAGAATTCAAAATGAAAAAAAAAAAAAAAAAATATCATATAAGTGGTGGATCATGTAGCGTAAATACCGGGTGAAAATTGCCATTCGCTGCAAAGCGACTGTCTTCTGTGATGCCGGAAGTTTCTCGAATTCGGAAGCAGTATAAGAAATCCCCGTAAAATCATCCAAGTGATCAAAGGCACCGATTCTTTGGTAAAGTGATTCAGCCGTAATCTATATGTATATATAACAAGTCCATTGTCAATTTCTCGTACAAACATAACAGCTCAAAAGTGAGAAACTAAAATTAAGATCTTTACCTTATTATCTCCTGTAACAACTATGACACGTATTCCAGCTGTCATACAAGCAAGAATGGCATTCTTTACTTCCTCTCTTGGTGGATCGAGCATGCCAACCTTTTAGATCATAAAAGCAACGGTACAGTATCAAAATGAAGGATTCAATAGGTCCGAATTAGCAAAAGAAAGTTAATAAAGAAATGTCCGTATTCAAATCTTGAAACACATAAATAACGAACAAGTTATTGCGAATACAACTTTTAACAGAAAAAACTTGAGATATGTGCCGTATAAAAGAGAGCATACCAACCCAATAAATGTAAGATCATTTTCATCATCCAAGGACAGAGCCTGCTGCTCGACTGGCATCCTTTTCAAGGCTAGTGCTAAGCATCTTAAAGTTTCTTTTCCTGCAAAACTGATATAAACAAGCAGGTATACCCCCACAAAAGAAATAATTAATGAACGGAAAAGAATTTAATAAAGATTTTAACAAGAGAAATTTGAACGTTGAAAAGATACATTTCATCATGTGTATACAAATATAAAAAGCAAAGAGAATCCCATTTTAACAAGAAGAAAAATAGAAGGGTTACCTGTGGAATTTTGACTCTATTTCAGATCTAATTTCCGGTGTTAGACGAATTGTTGAACCATCGTTATTGCACATGATAGTTGTGCATCGAGGAAGAATACTCTCCGGAGCACCTTTGGAGAACATAATCTGAATCTGCTTTCGGTTACAAAGCACGCTCATCATCTTCCGATCACGAGTGAACTCCAGAACCGAGACCTAAAAAACAAAACAATTTCAAGTGAATGCTAATTAATATCATCCTTAACCGAAACAGAGATCTTTTTTTACTTGATTTCAGTTTATTCAATGCCAAATCTGTAATCGAAACGAATAATGAAATAACTGTTCAATTTAAGTTGTAACCATGGGCAAGAACCAACCTTTTTGAATTGGTTCTCCCAATACCTATTACAGTACGATGCTCGTTCGTGCTTGGACAGCATGTTAAGAGCAGAAGGCATGGAATCAAAACCAGGAAGGCCAATCTGTAGAAATATGATAGGTGCAGTCAGATTCAATCCAAACAGAGCATAAGGGAAGATAAGGAAGGATTAACCATGGTTAAAAGATGAAACTAAGGTGCAGAATTAACCAACCTTTTCTGCCAAAACACGGAGTGCTACTTCAGTCGACTCTCCGATCTTTTCGTAACATCTCTTATCTGGATTGTATTGAATAACAGAGTCATTGCAGAGGGCTGAACACATTGATGTATGTAGAAGACATTGGGAATTCGCTGGCATCTCAAGCTGCGTTATATCCCAAGTAGAGAATTCGTATTAATTGAACATATAAAAGGTGCCGATAAAATGTGATTATGTATACAAAGGAGAATAACGTATACGAAGGAGAATAACTTACATGAATATTAGAGTAAAGATGCAAAAATGCTTAAATACATATTTTTCAATTAACCAAACCAAATATTGAGGGGTTGCAAAATACGTGATGATAACCTATATGCTTGTTTCAAGATAGGCAATGCTTTCACTAAATGCAAATGTGCTGATTCTTGGCCTCGGTGATTAGATTTAAAATTTTGAATTTAAAAGGAAAAAAAAAAGGTGTCAAATTTTTAGACAAAATCAAAGAAAATGCAATCAACGACAAACAAAAATAAAGACGGGTATGAAAAGGAAAATTACCTGCGTATCGGCAGTGTTGTCAAAAATGGTGCCTTCCGGTGCATATGTGGTGCCACTTACACTGTATTCAGCTACAACAGGAACATCATATGCAGAGTGAAGAACAGATACCTGAGCAGGTGAAAGCAAACATTTTACCTAATGTCAGCTTTTGAGATTATCGGTGCCAAAAAAACGGCATTAGCTCTTCATCAGTTGTCTAAACCAACAATTTGCTACGAAAACAGAGAGAATCAAATTTCTGGAAAGCTAATTACAGCATAATTACACAAGTCATGCAAATAAGAAGAGCAACGCTTACAGAAAACAGAAAATTACCAGAAATCATAGTTGTACTGTTTGGATGAACCTCTAAGTAATGAAACGAGTAAGCATGAACGAAAATAAATTTATCTTACTGATATTCTAGATTCTAACTTCATGAGCTATGTGTATTTAGATATTTTGCGACCGATACGATAAAGCATAAAATATGACCGAACCATGTAATCCTCCGCATTTGCAACCTTAAATTGCTGAAAAGGAAGGAATCGTAACAGAGTGATAAATAATAATAATAATTTATGGAATGAGTAAATTGAGACCTTTGAAACGGACATCATATTGGTAGTGAGAGTGCCGGTCTTGTCACTGCAAATCACGGTTGTGCAGCCTAAGGTCTCTACTGATGGCAATGACCTGACTATAGCATTTAAACGAGCCATTCGTTTTGTTCCAAGAGCTAAACATCTGTTTGAGATCCAAAGGCAAATATTAAGATATGCATTTTGGCGAAAAGATGTTTCTTACATATTTAGAATACGATCCCGCATTTTCTGTGTAAACCACAACTAGATGAAAAAAAATTATTCGGTATCTTATAGACACTATAGAATGAAAATTGGAAACTAAGTGAACCACACAATAAACTAGTTAAAAACTCGTCGGCACTGATGAAATAACAAGAAAAAACCATGTAACCGTTTAAATAATAACAAAATCTGCAAATTGTTATCATCTTCTATTGCGACAAAATACTTTTTTTATACCAATTTTTAGGTGAAAACTGTGCATGGAAAAAGATGTCGTATGACAAGTCAAACACGGTAACACAAATGGAGTTAAGAACATACGTCGTAACAACGGCAGGTAGCCCTTCAGGAATGGCTGCAACAGCAAGAGCAACTGCAATCTAGAAAGGCAAGAATATAATTAGCTTTAGTATCCAATACGAATGAGTACATGATGAAATAAGATAAAGAAATTATTATGAAAAGTGAAAAGAAATATTAGATCTGGATGAGAAATTTGGGTAAGCTAATATGCACTTACACAACTGATAAAAGGTCGAATAAAATAAAACCATGTACCTTGAAGTAATGTATTGCACCTCCCAAGAAACCACCATGGGCAGGATCCCGAAAATGACCAATGTTCACAATCCAAACCAAAATACATATGCCTGCAATAACCTTAATTCGGCAAAAAATATCAGAAATAAACAATATAGCTGGTCATATAAGTCATGAAGTTCGAAATATGGTCAATCAATTAGGCATAAAACAAAAGACGTCGGTTGAAACATTCACCTTAGCCAAAAAAGTACCAAATTCATCCAACTTCTTCTTCAGTGGCGTTGCTTCCTACATCATATAAGAGCCAATTATAGGAGGTCCATTAAGCTGGAAGGAAAATTAATATTTACATATATATAAGATCTTGAGTACGTGTCGTCCTCTTAAATGTAATGTTAATATCAACGTATGTGTATTGCAATTCACACATTATTTTTCTATAATTGTATTTACTGAGGTTCAGAATTCCACCCACGATTATGTTCTACATGGATAAAACAATTAACCTCGTCGAAATTTCAGAAAAAAGAAATGCTCACATCTTCTGTTTTTAACATAGAGTCGCGTATGCTTCCCATTGCAGTATTAGAGCCAACACCAACAACGACAGCTCTTGCCCTTCCAGCAACTACAACTGTTCCCTGTAAAATAATTGAACGCAAAATATAGATCTTAAAATGCTGGTAGTTCACTTATAACCATCATATTTACAAAGTATAAAACGACAAATTAAACCGATCTTGAAGAGTGTAAACTTAGACTTAAGGAAACCAAAAGCTTTAAAATAATAAAACTTAAAAAGTTGTTGTATTAATACATTGTTTTCATAAAAGCCAACATGAAACGAAACTATACAATCAAATGTTATAAGTGCACCAAACTGGCGGCACTGCCAAGATCGTATCACTATTGCATGCATCAACTATCCAAAGATCGTAAGCATGACCATAGGACACTTGATGAAAATGTTTCGAAATATTACCGAGAAAAGAATGTTAGTCTTGTCCTGGTATACTGCATTCGACACATCGGTCCTGTCCAGTTCTTTTTCCACAGAAGAGCTCTCGCCTACGAAAATCCAAGAAAGAATTATGTATATTGCCTTCGATTCAGATTGGAGGAGTTAAATGAATAAAAATATAGTACATCATAGAAGAAAGAAAAATAATAATTAACTAAAGAAAGTCAGAAGAAAGTACCTGTAAGAATCGCTTGATCAACACATAATTGATCGCTTAGCATCTCTACCATCCTCATATCTGCTGGAACCTTGCATCCCACTATGTAAACGACATAAAAGAAAAATATATTCATTTAAAAAGTTGTAACTCTACAATTCAGAAAACAGCCATTGACCAACATACCGCTGACTTCTACAATATCTCCAGGAACAAGGTCTGTCGCAGGTAAGATGGAGAAACAACCTAAAACCATTTTGGAAAATGCCGATTATCTTACAAATTACAAATGTTCATGATCTGGTGTCATAGAACAATAAAAAAAAAAATTAAAAAAAAAAAAAAGATCAGAGGTTTTGAGATCAACAACTTCTAGAAAAGCAACATATAAAAGCCCACAACTGTGTGTGTGTGTGTGCGCGTAGATAAAAGAGAAAGGGCAGTAATTGATTAGATTTAATGTTTTAGACTTCAAAATAGTATGTGCAAATAGTTTCCTTTTGCTTACGTGTTTAAGGGGCAAATAAAATATTTAATTTGTCATGACACTTTTTTTACCAAGTGATACTAACAGCAGGCAACAGAGTAAATTTGCAAATAAACTCAGGTTCAGTCTCCTATGGTCTGTAATGTAGCCATCCAAATTGAAATAATATGTGCGTATGTTCATCATTACTAGAAAATGAAATCAAATGAAATATGACAATCAAGTTTCCATCACATAAATAACCATAATGCCAGAAGTAGTAAGACATAAATAAAGAGAAATGCAGGAAAGATCCATATAGAATATCCCTAAGGAAAATAATCGGGGGATTGATCAGCAGCATGACAAATCACTAATTTGGCTACGAAATAACACGTTCAAGATCAACTAACTGCATGTCTAAAACAGACATGTTTTCAATAAGAATTTTAAACGATTAACTTTTATGCATCCAATGATATTGTCATAAGTAAAATGAGAAACTTAATGAGTCTGAAAGAGGGATTGTTTTACCATTTCTTAAGACAGTTGCAACGTCAGCTTGGTATGCTCGTAGTTCCTGCAAACCACGAAAAAGAGGTAGACCGTATGAGATGTGACTTTAACAGTAATTACATATTTCAATGTTCACATCCTTGCTGAAAACCCAAACTAACCTCAAGGGCCTTCTCAGCATTTGTTTCCGTGATTACTCCAACAGCAGCATTTGCAGCCAATATCATGAGGATAACCTGTAAATGCAAATATTTAATTAAAAAATATATAAATAAAAAAAGGCAGATAATGCGAATTCAATCTTACTGAAGGCTCCAAGAAGGCAGATAAGCCAGTCTCTCCGTTAGCCAAGGCCAAAAAGAAGGAGACGACAGCAGCTGCGATTAATATCTTTACGAGCAAATCATCAAACTGCTTCAGCACCAATCTCCAAAAGGGAGTGCCTGCAATAAGTAAAAAAATCACAGTAATGTATGTTAGAAATAACTAACCAATTCAAACGATAAAAATTATGCTCTATAATACGCCTTTACATTGACATCAATGAGAGAGAAAAAGGAAAGAGAGTCGAGCACCACTTACTTTCTTCTTGAGGGAGCACTGTCACCAAGCGTATCACAGGCATCCAAAGAGTTGAAAAAATCACACATCAGAGCAAATAAAATATATTTTTTTACATCGTAACCAAGAAACCAGAAGTCAATCGGTTGAAAAGTGCCTACATATGGCCAGAAATATACTTAACATAATATTCCAAATTCATACGAATGCCAAACATCAAGACACCAATTATTCATCCAGGAAACAGGATAAGCCAACACATGTTGATCGATTGTTTAATTTGATAAGCTCGTAAACCCAATAATTAGGTCTTATATACACCAACCTCCCTTCAAACGGATAAGGATAACACCAGACTCAAAAGTACAGCACTTACCATTTTTGCCATATAATCTACCATGCTCTGCAACCTGAAATATTGAAATACGCAAAATAAAAAATAGGGAAATTAACATGCAAGTGTGCTTCTCACAAAAAAAAATT